TATAGCCTTGCGAAGTTTGCAATTTTCAGTCATTTTAGATCACAAAAGGGAAATTGACAGCCCAATACCCTTTGGGGCTGTCAATTTCCGGTTTGTAATACAAAATGACTGAAAAATTGAAAAACGGCAAACTTCGCAAGGCTATATTATCCGCATTTTACAACATTTCGCAACGAAACTTTGGAATATTGTTGAGATCAAAATTTAGTGGTCAATTTACTTCATCATTCCACAGTGATCATTCGTACTCTTAAATGTATCCCAACAAAATTTTTTTGATACACCTTGCACCAATATACGCCTTGTATACACTATATACGCGTATCAAATGCATAGGATATACCCATATAATCCAGTGTGTCTATGAGCATATGACACGCGTATCTGTTATAAACGACACGCCTTTCATACACGTACCTGTTAATTTGACACGCGTGTCATACGCGTATCTGTTATATACGATACGCGTGTCATACGCGTACCTGTTATATACGATACGCATGCCATACGCGTACCTGTTATATACGGGACGCGTATCATACGCGTACCGTATTCGTATCATACGAGTATCATACGCGTACCGTATTCGTATCATACGAGTATCATACGCGTACCGTATTCGTATCATACGAGTATCATACGCGTATCGTATGTTAAGACATACGCGAGCGGTACTGTAGTTTAAATAGAGAATAATGCATGGGTGCACGAAATACCAGATTTATTTCGAGTGTTGAACATGAGTGTGCAGCGAACGAGTGAGTGCAGCGAACGAGTGAGATATGTCATGTTCAACACGAAAAATAAATCTGGTATTTCCAACCACCCATGTATTTTTCTGTTTATTATATAAAGGACAGTCTTGAATGAAAAGCGATAATTGAAAAGGCGATAATTTTCACATGTGAGATTATCATGAATAATTTCACATGTGAGATTATCATTTTTATCAGTGCTCGAAATCTTGGGAAAACACTATCTTTTATATAATAAAAATTCATAAGTTTGAACCATGCTAGAGCATGAGAACAGCAAAATGCTCTATAGTATGATGCACAATATTTTGGGAGGTGAAATACACGAACAATAAATCAGAGAGTGTTTGCTTGGAACTCACTGGGGGGGGGGGGCAACACCCCTGATAATTGCTCATGAGGAATTTCAGGTAGATTTCCAGTGCACTTTTGGTAAATTTAAGTAGATTTGCAGAAGATTTTCAGGGGAATTCAGGTAATTCTCAGGACATGAGAAAGTGAATTTGGAAAACAACTGTATTTTCGGAAAAATTATTATATGTCCTGAAAAATTTTTGTACATCTGGAAACTTTTTGGTAACCCCCCCCCCCTCTATCTAACCGCACACACCCCCTGCGACGAAGTGCTCGCAACGGCACTGAGTATATATCTTTTGAAAACAGGCGAGGGGTTATTGCATGCATGTATTTCTAGTATTCACATATGCATGACTGCTGACATCTTGCCATATTTGACATATTGCCATATTGATGACTGTTGCTTCTCAGTCTCCAATATTTCAGTGAGTCACTGCTTTGGAAATGACAATAAATTTTTATCACCCAACCCTTGAGTTGTTTTCTTTTTCATTCACCCAACCTTTCACTCACTCAAAATTTTGTTTACCCAAACCCCCTTCTCTTCGGTGCCACCCCCCATTTATAATGACCTGTCCCTTAGAAATAACGTATTCCAAGTCCATAACATCTCATTGGGATCATCAAGTTGTTTAATATTATTCCAAGGTTACGTTGATTTGACAAATCATATAAAAAAGTTTCAGCGTGAAAATCTTTGTAATTTCTAGTCTGAACTAGTCTGAGTCTTTCACGTTGGGGCATATATTGCGATAAATGGCAAAAATGAAATAGTAATCACTTATAGTAATATTAGAAACATCAGTTGTAATAACTTTATGTGGCATATTTGAAATTAGCTACTAGATTCTGTGTTTATTATAATATGCATAATCTAGGGGTGCCAGAAGCTCAGGATGCTGTGGGCAGCTTATCTGGTTACATGATTTCTACCTAGCTTTCTGGCTAATGATCGACATGTTGGATTGAGGATTCTTGAACCACTTGGAGTAGGATTGTAGTTCTTAAATGTAGATTATAGGCTTTATAGGGTTGCACTGAATCTCATTTATAGGCCAGAACTGAGAAAGTCACACATGCTAGTCAGACATCAAGTTATAAACAAGAATAAATTGGTAGATACTGTCACTTCCAGTCCCAGGTGGATTTATTTGGGGTTTTGTTCATTTCAGTCCTCTTTGTGTGTACCCTGTATGGTGCAACTACCTGAAACTAAGA